TTCTACTGTCCTGCATCTATTGCCTAGGAACAGTTTCTACTGTCCTGCATCTATTGCCTATGAACAGTTTCTACTGTCCTGCATCTATTGCCTAGGAACAGTTTCTACTGTCCTGTATCTATTGCCTATGAACAGTTTCTACTGTCCTGCATCTATTGCCTATGAACAGTTTCTACTGTCCTGCATCTATTGCCTATCAACAGTTTCTACTGTCCTGCATCTATTGCCTATCAACAGTTTCTACTGTCCTGCATCTATTGCCTAGGAACAGTTTCTACTGTCCTGTATCTATTGCCTAGGAACAGTTTCTACTGTCCTGTATCTATTGCCTAGGAACAGTTTCCCTTGTCCTGCATCTATTGCCTAGGAACAGTTTCTAGGGTCCTGTATCTATTGCCTAGGAACAGTTTCTAGGGTCCTGTATCTATTGCCTAGGAACAGTTTCTAGGGTCCTGTATCTATTGCCTAGGAACAGTTTCCCCTGCCTACATATATTGCCTTTTAATGTTTTCTTCCAATTTGCAGTTACTACCTCTATAAAGCAAACTTCTCTTGTTGGTTTGCCATAACAGCCTGTTAACATTTTCTCTGGGCTTTGTCAAAATGACACACCACTGAACCACTGATCGACTTCCACCCCTGTCAACAAAAGCTGAGGTCACTGAACAGACAAGCAACCACATAAAACATCATACACAACATTCAAAACCAAACAGAGCAAAGCTTAGCTAGTGATAAGAAATACAGTCAAACCTCGGTATAATGTACACAGCTTAAAACCCACTATAGAGGCTGGAACGCTCACCTTCTAAAGCCACAATTCCCGTTTGGTATTAAAAAATTTTTCCGGCTAATACATATCTTGACTAAGACATTCAAGTAAATCTTGGGTCACAATCTTGGGTGGAAGGGAATATTTTATACCGAGGTTTAACGATACACTTTAAAAAAAGAAAAAAGCTTAAGAAAGAAAGAGAAAAGAACCAAAAAAAGAGAATGCTCCATTACAAAAAAAAAAGTAGAAGAAAATGGAGGAAAAGTGTGATGTGAAATGAGGTAGACTTCTAGCACTAGGACACAGAGAAGCACAGGGAACCCACACACAGGGGTACAACAACTGAAGCACAGCCGTCACAGCATGCAGGTATCTCACAACCAATAGAACCAATGTTAAACTACAGACCATCACCAGTCAGTATCTGAACCGCCACCACTTGTCAATAAATTGTTTAGTTGTTAAAACTAATTTAATATAGATGTTTTTTACGCCCCTGTCCACACAATTTGAATCATTTAGGAGGCAGGTGTCCACCCTGCCTGTCTAGGCCAATCCGGGCTAAGAGGGGTACAGCATCCCAACAAAAAGACCGTACTCGATAAAAAAAAATTCTCCCCACATGGGAATCAAACTGATCTTCTGAGCGCAATGACAAAAGTGTCTCTATGAGCTACACTACAGATGCTGGCATTATCTATACTTCTTTACAGAGAGGCTGTTGAGTTAAATAAGCCTGGTATTTCTTCATATAATGCCATCTATTTCAATCTAAATGTCTGGAATGTGAGAGTGTGCGAGAGGCTGAGTATGTGTGGGAGCAGGCGTTCTTATATATATATACACATGTGTATATATATTATGCAAATGAAAAAGTGCTACTGAATATGAGCGTGTGTGAGTGACTGTACGGGTGAGAGCAAGTTCGTGAGACGACCTGTTTGTTTGCAAGGACAGTGAAAAAAGATGCCATATATTGACAGTACGTCTGTGCGACATACACCGACAGACAGCAGCAGACGTGAGAAAGCAGCAGACGATGACACAACTACTAAGGGAACGTCACAGGCACATGCACAACTGAAAGCTCGGCAGAATATAGACTGGGTGCTGTTTATTTCTGGTGGTACTAAATAAATAAACAACACTTAATTGCTATTTTTAGGCTAAAGAGTCGGAGAAAGCAGGTATGATGAGTCGTATGCTATGAGTGCATCCTGGAGTGGGGGTTCAGAGCAGAGTGCTAGGTGTGTACTGTGTGAGCTGTAGGTACAGAGATACATTACAGGTACATTAAATATACACTGGTCTACTGGACTCTTGTAAGCTCCCACTACCACAAGGATTAGCATACTACACAGCAGTGATAGGGCAGAGTGGAGGTGG